TCTCCAGTTCTTCTGCGTTTTTTGCTTCAGTCTTTCTTTAATGTAGATATATATTTTTATCAAGCGTTTTTAAACTTGAAGCATCTGAAAGATCCTCATTTTTTTACGCCAGAGTTCGCAGAAGAAATTACTCTTCTGCGTTTCTCTCTCCAGTTCTTCTGCGTTTTTTGCTTCAGTCTTTCTTTAATGTAGTTAAAAAACCATTTAAAGAAATTTATTGCTATTTTGTTTTTTTGAGGTCTATATATTGCAAAGTATATTTTTTTAAATTTCAAAATTCACCGGAATACTACAAAAGTAACTACGAGTTACTACTAAGAGAAAACGAGTCAAGCGATCTAAAAACGGTTGATATTCTTTAGATTAAATGGAACACCGTCTATTATTCCAATTTTGAATTCTATGGAAAATTTTAAATGCATTTCGTGCAAATATCCTCTTCTTGAGTTTTTGAGACATTTTGAATTATCCACAGTGTGTCTCGCACAATAATATTTCTTTCGATTAAGGGCTCATGTTTTATGTAATTTGGGTTGACCTTTTGGTCAATTTTGATAACTATTATTGCACCGGGTGATCAAAGAACAAAGTTAAAAGTGAAATTGAGAAAAAAGCAAAAAATTAAATTTTTCAAATTTAAAGTTTGTGTAAGTTTGATCCAGAAATGTTTAGTTTTCGAAATATTGCTATATGGCCATTTTGGTGGGGATTTTAAGTGCCGCTACTCTTAGTTGCCCACGACTAAAAGTTTAACAATTTTTTCTGCTCATGTTGATGCCTAAAGACCTGATTTACCGTAGTTGTATTTTTCATAAATAATAAATAAATCAAAGAATCTAAGTTTGTATAAAAGTTAAGTGGCTCGATACCGATTACTAACGAGTAAATTGACTCGTTCGGTTCGTTAATAGTTACCAAAAGTCTATTTAAGTCGCTCCTTTTCGACAAGGAATCCAACCCGGATTAAATAGTAAACGCGTTCTTAAACGAAAATCATAATTATTACCTTAGAATATGCTTTTAAAATTAATTTTGAAAAGCTATCTTGACGCTTTGATAGCTGCTATCGTTCTCAAAAGCTACCTAAAAAAAAGTATATTCATAATTTTTGAAGAACGCTAAATAAATACAAATGTGTAAAAAATCGCTCTGATTTTTCTTTTATCCGAATTGCAAATTTTGAGACTTAAATCTCAGTGTTAGATTAAATAAACGTGACGCTACACAATTATCTTGATTTCTAAAAATGATTATTGTGTGAAAAATTACCACATTCTTTAATTTTGCGTGTTTTTGTTGATTATTTTTTTGCTAAAATTATTGAGGCATCCCATTCAATTTGCTGGCATCAAATGCATGTTGACAAATTGTAATCTATGAAATTCTTTGTATGATTGTTGTCCTTTATTTATTGTCGTATTTACCCTTTTTTAAAACAATGAGCTTTAAGTGAAAGGCATAAAAGTTGACAATTTGTGGAAAACCGAAAACTCAGAGCGATTTGTTACACATTTGCATTCATTTAGCCAATTTATTAATATGCTCTTTTTTTGGGTATCTCCTGAGAATGATAGCAGATTTGCTATCGAAACGTCAAGATAACTTTTCAACAACAAGTTAATTTGTTTACTAATTGCACTTTTGCTCTTACATCTTGAGCCTGAGTGAGTCGTAGGAGACCATTTATAGCTTTTGATTACCTTTTGATAAAGAACTCGTTTTTTATTGCGAAATAAGAGCACTAATTTACAATCTGTAATAGAAGGCGTGAGAAAATTCCGTCTTCTGCAAACGGCAAAAATTTTGGGACTCCAGCTGAACCATAGAACGCTATAAATATTTAAAATTTAAAATATTTCAAAAACAATTCGCCTTAGGTATGCGATGTTGTACAGGAAATGTACTTGAATTTGTTAGTAGAATTGAAAGCTGGCATAATATACAGAGTGTTGCAACAATAAGCAAGCTGACCTACTTTCGGTATAACCGCGCCATCTTGAAAATGGTTTAAATCGCGCGCCCCTGTGAGTGTGGCGTATGCCCACTTGCACCAAACTTCTTCTAGGCACGTCCTTACCTAAGTATACCTTAAAATTTTATAAGGATCTGAAAGGGCGTCCGCAGGACTTAATTTTCTACTTGTTTAAGTAATTTTTCAAATAGAAAATCTAATAAAAACGTGTATAC